TCCTCAGAAAACTATAAGGATGAGGGCTGGGAATGTGGCTCAGTAGTAGAGTGCTTGCCTAGCATGCATGAAGCCCTGAATTTGATTCCTCATTATCACATAAACAGAAAAAGCTAGAAGTGGTACTGTGGCTCAAGTGGTAGAGTGCTAGCCTTGAGCAGAAAGAAAGAAAGAAAGAAAAAAAAGAAAGAAAGAAAGAGAGAGAGAGAGAGAGAGAGAGGGGGAGAGAGGGAGGGAGGGAGGGCGAGGGAGGAAGGAAGGGAGGGAGGGAGGGAGGGAGGAAGGAAGGGAGGGAGGGAGGGAGGGAGGAAGAAAACAATAAGGGTGATAGCTAGATAGTAGGTAGGCAGAGACAAGACCAAAAAGCAGAGTGGGGACTCAATAATCCAAGCAAATTTTCTGGAGAACAAAGTGACAGGCAAATGCTACTAACTAAAGTTTCTTTTATGTTCACCTAGTATACTTTCAGTTCACGGGTTTCTTATGGCCCTCCTCTTTCTCATTTTTAGTTTTTGGTCCTCACATTTGCTAGGATGGCACTCCTACCACTAAGGCATGCCTCCAGCCCTGATTTTGGCTGGTTATTTTTGAGATAGGGTCTTGCTTTCTGCCTGGCCACTCTTCTGTGTGCAATCTGCCTTCTCCTATGACTAGGATGACAGACAGATGCCACCACACCCATCTCTTTGTTGAGAGGAGTGGCTTCAAATAGCAATTTTTCCGATCTCAGCCTCACTAGCTGGGCGCTGGTGGCTCACGCCTGTAATCCTAGCTACTCAGGAGGCTGAGATCTGAGGATCGCAGTTCAAAGCCAGCCCGGGCAGGAGAGACCGTGAGACTCCTATCTCCAATAAACCACCAGAAAACCGGAAGTGGCGCTGTGGCTCAAGTGGTAGAGCGCTCGCCTTGAGCTGAAGAGCTGAGGGACAGCGCCCAGGCCCAGAGTTCAAGCCCCACGACCGACAAAAAAAAAAAAAAAGACCCAATCTCAGCCTCACAAGTGCCTAGGGTCACAAATGGGAGCCATCAAGGCCCAACTACGTCCATCTGTTGCTGACATCATTAATGGCACTTGGTTGCTCTATCTTCTACCTAATTAATTCTGACTTTGGTAAGCCTGCCCCTGTTGTCCACCCCGTCCTTCTAAAAAAAAAAAAAACCTCCCTGCTTCACTCAAATGCCTCCCTCTCTCATTTGTAAGGCTCTCCGGGGCCCAGCCTGGAGCTGATTTAGTCACTGGTGAAGTCACTGTGCTGTAATAAGCACCTGGTAACTAGCATAGAAATGTCTCCACCTCTTTGACTCTCTTCTTTTCCAGCTCTACACTCACCTCTCTGCTCTCTATTTTTCACTTTCACTGTGTCCTCTTCCTCTATCCTTGTTTACTTAGAGGTACTGGAGTTTTATTTATTTATTTTTATTTATTTATTTGGGTCCGGTCGTGGGGCCTGAACTCTGGGCCTGGGTGCTGTCCCTCAGCTCTTCAGCTCAAGGCTAGCGCTCTACCACTTGAGCCACAGCGCCACTTCTGGCTTTTTTTCTTTCTGCTTATGTGGTGCTGAGGAATCGAACCCAGGGCCTCATGCATGCAAGGCAAGCGCTCTACCTCTGAGCCACCTTCCCAGCCCGGTACTGGAGTTTTAATCACAGCTTCCTGTTTACTAGGCAGATGTTCTACCACTTGAGCTAATCCTTTGGTCCTCTTTGTACTTGGGATAGAGTCCCATTTTTTGCCAGGTCCTTAACCTGATCCTTTTCTCCCCCCACCCTCCACCTCCAGCTTTTTTTGTGTGTGGTAGTCCTGGGCTTGAATTCAGGGCCTAGGCCCTGTGCTTGAGCTTTGTTGCTCAAGGCTAATGCTTCAACACTTGAGCCATAGCTAAACTTCTGGCTGGATTTTTTTTATGCTACATTGGAGCTAAGAGTCTCAGACTTTCCTACCTAGGATGGCTTTGAACCATGATCCTCATATCTCAGTCTCCTGAGTAACTAGGATTATATGCATGAGTCACTGGCACCCAGTCGATCCTTCTTCATATACTCTGATCTTCCTTTTTATACTTTCCACAGAGCTGGAATGACAGCTTTTTCTGTTGAGATGAAGTCTGGCAAAGTATTTGTCCAGACTGGCCTCAAATCTTGATCGTTCTGATCCTAGTCTCCCAAGTAGCTGTGATTATAGCTGTGAGTCATTTTGCCTGGCTCTCCTCCTCCTCTAACTTCTTAAATGTTGCTCTTCCCCAAGGTCTGTCTTTGATCCTGTTCTTATTTCATGTGATGTGCTCACTCTGGGTACCTCACCTACTACCTCTGAGGACTTGCTTTAAGTCTCCTGAGCTCCTGATTTACATTTTCTGCTGTGCCTGGGCACGGAGTTCCATGTATCTTGTGAATGCATCCAGGTCCATATATTCTTTATTTTGTTTTATTTTTTTTTTGTCAGTCGTGGAACTTGAACTCTGAGCCTGGGCGCTATTCCTCAGCTCTTCAGCTCAAGGCTAGCACTCTATCACTTAAGCCACAGTGCTACTTCTGGCTTTTTCTGCTTATGTGGTGCTAAGGAATAGAACCTAGGACCTCATGCATGCAAGGCAAGCGCTCTACCACTGAGCCACCTTCCCAGCCCCTATTCTATTTCTTGAACCTACTCTCCTGTTCTCCTGTCCCCACACAGTCCAAACATCTGCTAGATACTCACTTAAAACTGCTTTCTTCACTGTATTTGATGTCGGTATAATTTGTGGAGGGGAAGGGAAAAAGATCGTTTAAATAGGGATACAGGTGAACCCATTGCAACAATGAAACGTACAAGTCGTTATGTCAAAAAGGAACTTTACAACTTTGATGTGGGGGGGACGATTGGGTGAGGGGTGGGGGGAGGATGGGAAGGGATGGGAAGGGGAAACAAAGGAGAAGGCTACAATGCTTGATAAGAAATGTACTCATTATCCTGCCCATGTAAGTGTAACCCCTCTGTACAGTATTTTCACAATAAAAAAAACCAACAACACTGCTTTCTTACCCAGAAGCCAACCAAACCCTGGCCCTCCAAGCTCTCCCAACGTTCTCAACTCCATCTTCCCCCATCTCTGCTCTTTCTACCATGCATGTATTTCATTAGGCCTTTCATCATCTTCACCTCCCTCAGGAATAGACCAGGCTCTCACTCTTCCCATCCATCTACCACAGGATGCAAGCAACAGATTACTCTGACGTGGAAATCTGCTGAGACTCATTCCTCTGTGCCTTCACAGTAAATATAAACCTTTAGCATGAGAGAATGCAGAAGAGTGGTTCTCCAGACTCCTCGTAGTATCCCTTTGCTTTCCCTGAGCCTGACTGGCATTTGTCCAGGGGCTATAGTATAGGATAGAATGTAGAAAGCTCTAGATATATTTGGCTAAATTTCTTTCCAAATTGGAAAGTGGACCCAATTAATATCCCATCATCCCAGTTAAATTACATTTTTACGTATCCTAAACTTTCAAAGAGCTTTCCTTCCTTCCTTCCTTCTTTCTTTCTTTTTTTCTTTCTTTTCCCCTCCCTCCCTCCCTTCCTCCCCTCTCCCGCCCCCCTCCTTCCCTTGAGCAAGTGGTCCTTTTTGATAGGAATCTGCTTTGTTCTCATAATTCTATGTTTCCTTCTCAGCCCAATTATTTTTATATAACCAAAGATCCTATATGAAGGACTTGCCTCTCCCTTCTTGGCCCGATCAGTTTATGTAGCTAAAGATAGAATATGAAGGATTGATCCCCAGCCCATTGTCCCAAGCCTATAACAGACGCCAGGCAAAATCCCAGGTATGTGCAAACGTGCTTGATTTACTGGCAGGGCAATCCGCCTAAGCCCAGCTGTACACATCCCATTGTAGGCCCAACTGAAAAGCTCCTTATTCTTTTTCCGTTCTCCTCCATTTTCCCAACACTTTTCAGCACCAGGACTGACTGCCACCACTACCATGCCAGGGCCTACATTTGTGATGCTGCAGAATCAGCCAGAAGCCAGTACTGTGAGCTCAGCCAGAAGCCAGTACTGTGAGCTCAGCCAGCTGTTTGGGAGTCTCCAGTAAAAGATTATCTCAGACTCCAGCAGGCCGGGGGCCCTGAGGGAAGGAGACAACTCCCACAGGCCCCAACTTCTAGCCCCCAACTTCGCAAAGCTGGGTTTGCTTTCTTGTGACTTCACACCTCTAAACTGTGTTTCCGTCCAAAGCTGGAGCTGCATTTGGAACTAAGGCTGCTACTCTAAACAGGAAGGACTCCCTTCCCTCCTCATGAATAAGGGCAGAGTGCTGGATTTGCTTGTCCCAGTGCCGCAGTGATTGACCGATGTAGGCAAGCAGATGTGCGAGGCCAGACTAACCAATCAGGGCCGCCCAGGTGAGGCCTTAGAGCAGGGTGACCAGAGGGGAGCGTCTCCCTGTGGGAGTTGCCCTGCGGTGGGTACGAACAAGACAGCACGTACTAAGTTGCTTAGCTCCGCCCGGGCCCCTCCCAGCTTGCAGGTAGAGGACAAGCCAATGACCCTTCTGGCCCTACAGCTTGAAAAGTTGTGTTTTTAAAAATTATTATTTCTCATTATTGAAAAGAGACTCACCTTTCTAACAGAAATCATCAGAAATCATAAAGCGTCCTCACATTTGTAAGTCCCATTAGTGATTTGAGAATTGGCAGATTTGTGCAGACATCAAAGAATTGTCCTTGAGTTCTTTCATTTTTTAGAAACTATACAAACGTTCTTTCCACCCCCCCCCCCCAAAAACCTTACACTCAGGACAATTAATTAGGCACTTAAGACTATGTGGTGATGATACTGTTCAACCTAGCATCGTTATAAAGGAAAACATAATTCTAACTTCTTAAAGGAGATGGGGGCATAAAGGGAAAGAGGAACAGGCCTTCACACAGCACAGCTAAGCTGGAAATGATGCTTCATTTGCGCTCAGCTTGACACGCCACCCCTCTGTCTCCCTGGGATCCCAACATCCAGAGTCCACTCACCTGCCTTTCTTACCCATCTCCTGAGCTTCTCTTTCTGGCCAGGGCATTCGGCTCTCAGCGACCAATACCCATCCGCACCACAAAAGGAAGACACCAAATTTCATATTCTGTACAGCCCGTGTGGATTTCCCAATCCAAACAGCACTCTCAAGAAACCGCAGAAAGGAAATAGATGCTCTTTTTTTTTCTCTCCTAAGACATTATTGGTCTGTTCCTTATTAGAAGGACGTTTACTCATGCAAAAAAGAAAAAAAAATCAACCAGCAGTATGTAATCTGGCAAGCAGGAGAAAGCAATTTCCACTAAACCTATAAATCCTCCTACGTCAGATGGCAGGGATTTTCTGAACTGAGGTTGGATTCCTGTGTCCCTGTAGAACAATTATTTTGGCTAAATTAGTTCATCATGAAATGCGGTGAATATATTGGTGGTCTGGCTATTTGGTCCATTGAATAGAAAGAAGTGAAAACCACCAAAGCAATTTCCCAAATGAAAACGGTCCAGAGGTGCTGAAGTGCTCTGCATGCCAGGCTAACAAGCTCCTCCCTCATCTAGTTTAAGCTTCCGGCCATCATTTGCTTTGCTGAGGGCTGGATTTGGACAGCTCCCTGCCCCCACATCTTCCTGGGATTGAATCTCTACCGTCTCCCACTGGTACCTGAATGGACCATGAGGCTGAGATTGAGAGGCAAGTGGGAAAGAGGATCCTTATGTTTATTCTTTTTTATTTTATTTTTATTGTTATCTTAGAGGTGATATACAGCAGGGTTACATTTACACGTGCCAGACAATAAGTACATATCCTTTCATATAGCTAGTCATCTGTTCGCTCATTCTTTCCCATTCTCCCCCTCCCATCTCCACCCCCAAGTTGCATAGTTCACCTTCATGACCGTCCAGCGCGCTCCACTGCTGCACTTTTTCACCTGTTCCTTTCATTCTGTGCTCTCTCCCCACCCTCCCAGAGGTACACGTGAGTACACCATGTATAAGGTAAAGAATACAGTCATCAAAAAAAGAAAAAACAAATTAAGTAAAAATCCTTTGTTTCCCTATCATTGGAGTTCATTTCAGTATGTACATTATGTATGTGTGTGTGTGTGTGTGTGTGTGTGTGTGAGAGAGAGAGAGAGAGAGAGAGAGAGAAGAGGCACTTGGGTTTTGCACCTTTGTCATTCTCTCCTATGAGTATCTAGCATCCTGTGTAATTTGTCATGTCCCAGTGTGTTTTAGATCTAACTTCCATATTTCAGAGAGAACATGTGTCATTTGTGTCTCTGATCTTAACATGATTTGTTCTAGTTCCATCCATTTCTCTGTCCATGTCCCAAATGATATTATTTTATTCTTCCTAATGGCTGTGTAAAATTCCATATGGGTACCACATTTTTTGGATCCACTCATCTATTGTGGGGCATTGACCCAGTTGGGTTGTTTCCATATCTTGGCTATTGTGAATAGCCAAATTAACATAGATATGCAGGTATCCTTATCATATCCTTGCTAATGTCGCTCAGGGTAGATGTCAAGGAGTGGTATGGCTGGGCTGTAGGGAAGACCTATGTTTAGTTTTTTGAGGAACCTCCAGACTGCTTTCCATAGTGGTTGTACTAGTTTACATTTCCACCAGCAGTGCAGTAGGATTCTTTTTTCCCTGCATCTCCACCAGCATTTGTTGTTCAAACTCAAAATGTTGGCCAGTCTAACTGGGGTAAGGCGGAATCTCAAGGGTGTTTTGATTTGCATTTCCTTTATGGCCAGGGATGATGAGCATTTCCTCATGTGTTTCTTTGCCATTTTCACTATCTTCTTCTGAGAAGTCTCTTAGATCCCTTGTCCATTTAGTAATGGTTTATTAAGATCGGGAGGGGTTAGTTTCTTTAACTCCTTGTATATATTCAATATTAGACCTTTGTCTGATATGTTACCGGTAAAGATTGTTTCCCAATCAGTTAGCTGGCTTTCTTTTTCTTTCTTTTCCTCCTTCCTTCCTTCCTTCCTTCTTTCCTTCCTTCCTTTCCTTCTTTCCTTCCTTTTTTTATGCCAGTCCTAGGGCTTAAACTCAGGGCTTGGGTACTGTCCCCAAGCTTCTTACGTTCAGGGCTAGCACTCTACCATTTGAGCCACAGTACCACTTCTGTTTGTTTTTCTGTTTATGTGGTACTGAAGAATTGAACCCAGGGCTTCATGCATACTAGGCAAGCATTCTACCACAAAGCCACATTCCTGACCCTTGGCTATCTTTCTAGTTCATCAACTGTGTCCTTGGCTGTGCAGAAACCTACTTGTTGAGTCTCTCTCCTATTTGTTGTCTCCCTGGGACTCTATTCAGGGAGTTCCTTCCTATAAATTCTAATGTTTCTCATACTCTTTCTTGCATTAGTTTCAGAGTTTCAGAGGTCTTTGATCTACTTTGAGTTGATATTAATGCATGGTGACAAGCAGGGATCTACTTTTAGTTTTCTGCATATGGCTGCTCAGTTTTCCCAACACCAATTGAAGAAGCTGTTTTTTGTTTGTTTTCTTGCTTGTTTGTTTTTGCTAGTCCTGGGGCTTGAACCCAGGGTCCGGGGCACTATCCCTGAGCTTCTTTTGCTCAAGACTAACACTCTACCACTTGAGCCCAGGCTCACTTTCAGCTTTTTATGTTTATGTTGTACTGCAGAATCATGAATGTTAGACGGGCACTCTACCACTAAGCCACATTCCCAACCCGAGACTGTTTTTTCCACTGTATATCTTCAGCTCTTTTGTGAAATATAAGATGACTGTAAGTATGTGGTTTTAATTCTGGATCTTCTAATCTGTTGCATTGATCTTCTGATCTATTTTTGTGCCAATACCAAGCAAGCTGTTTTTGTTATTATGGCTCTGTAGTAGAGTTTGAAATGTGGTATTGTGATACCTCCCACATTGCTTTTGTTTGCCTAGAATTGCTTTGGCTGTTCTAGGTCTTCTATTATTCCATATGATTTTTTGTATTGTTTTCTCTATTACAGTAAAGAATATCATTGGAATTTTTATGGGGATTGCATTGAATTTGTATATCATTTTTGGTAGTTTGACTATTTTCATAATATTGATTCTACCTATCCATGAACATGGTAGGTCTTTCCATTTCCTGCTGTCCTCTTTCATTTCTTTCTTTAGATTTTTTTTTTTTTGGTCGGTTGTGGGGCTTGAACTCTGGGCCTGGGTGCTGTCCCTCAGCTCTTCAGCTCAAGGTGAGTGTTCTACCATGTAAGCCACAGTGCCACTTCCAGTTTTCTGGTGGTCAATTGAAGATAAGAGTCTTATGGGCTTTCCTGCCCTGGCTGGCTTTGAACTGTGATCCTCGGATCTCAGCCTCCTGAGTAGCTAGGCTTACATGCAACAGCCACCAGCACCCAGCCTCTGTTTAGATTTTTTTTTTATAGTTTCACTATAAAGATCTTTTACATCTTTAATTAGGTTAATTCCAAGAAATTGTGTGTGTGTGTGTGTGTGTGTGTGTGTGTCTGTGTGTGTGTGTGTGTGTGTGTTTTAGGCCATTGCAAATGGGTTGTTTTCATGATTTCCCTTTCTGCTTGTACATTGTTGGCACATAGAAAGGCTACTGATTTTTACATTTTGGTTAGGTTAATTCCTAGAAATTTTATGTGGGGTTTTTTTTTTTGAGGCTATGGCAAATGGAGTTGTTTTCATGATTTCTCTTTCTGTTTGTACATTGTTGGCATACAGAAAGGCTACTGCAGGTTTTAATTTTGTATCCTGCTACTTTGCTGAAGTAGTTGATCAGCTCTAGAAGTTTGGGGTGGAGTTTTTTGGGTTCTTTAGGTATAAGATCATGTCATCTGCAAATAGGGATAGTTTAATTTCTTCTTTCCCTATGTGGATCCCTTTTATGTCCTTTTTTGCCTTATTTTCTCTAGTTAAGAATTCCAGAACTATATTGAACAGGTATGGAGACAGTGGGCATGCTTACCTTGTTCCTGATTTTAGGGGAAATGGTTTTAATTTTTCCCAGTTTAGTATGATGTTACCCGTGGATCTGTCGTATATAGCCATTATTGTTTTAAGGAATGTTCCTTCTATTCCTAGTTTCTGTAAAACTTTTAACCTGAATAGATGTATTTTGTCAAATAGATGTATTTTTCTGCATCTATTGAGATGATTATGTGGTTCTTTTCCTTGGTTTTGTTGACATGGTAAGCTACATTTATTGATTTGTGTATGTTAAACCAGCCTTGCATCTGTGGGATGAAGTCTACCTGGCCATAATGTATGGGTTTTTTTTAACTTGTTTCTAGATTCTGTTGACTAATATTTTATTGACGAGCTTTGCATCTGTGTTCATCAGAGAAATTGGTCTGTAGTTCTCTTTTTTTATTGGCTCCTTACCTGGTTTTGGGATGAGTGTGATATGGACTTCATAGAATGAGTTTGAAATATCTTAAGAAGTTATTGGTACTAGTTCATCTTTAAAAGTCTTACAGAATTCAGTGGTGAATCCATCTGAGCCTGGGCTTTTCTTTGTTGGAAGATTTCTGATCACTTCTTCTACCTCATTGCCTGTTATTGGCTAGTTTAGCTGGTTTATATCTTGGTTCAGTTTAGGTAGTTTGTATGTTTCTAAGAATTCATCCATTTATGCTAGGCTTTCCTTCTTTAGAGAGCATAGATTTTGAAAGTATGTAGTCCTTTGTTTTTTGGTTTTTGTTTTTTTTTTTTGGGTCCAATCGTGGGCCTGAACTCTGGGCCTGGGCGCTGTCCTTCAGCTCTTCAGCTCAAGGCTAGCGCTCTACCACTTGAGCCACAGCGCCAGGTCCGGCTTTTTTCTTTTTGCTTATATGGTGCTGAGGAATCGAACCCAGGGCCTCAGGCATGCAGGGCAAGCACTCTACCACTGAGCCACCTTCCCAGCCCATGATGAAGACATTTTCTTTTTTTGGGGGGGGGGGGTCTGGTCATGGGGCCTGAACTCTGGGCCTGGGCGCTGTCCCTCAGCTCTTCAATTCAAGGCTATCATTCTACCACTTGAGCCACAATGCCACTCTGGCTTTTTCCACTTATGTGGTGCTGAGGAATCGAACCCAGGGCAACATGCACGCAAGGCAAGCACTCTACCACTGAGCCACCTTCCCAGCCCTGGTGTTTTTTTATATTAATATATTTTTTTTTGTGAAGACACTGTACAG